GTTCAAGAAGCTCAACGAACCCCAGGATGGATAGACCCTAAAAGACAATCACCAAGACATATAATAATCAAGCTCTCCAAAATCAAAGATAAAGACAGGATCTTGGAAGCAGCTAGGGAAAAGAGAAATATAACATACAAAGGCAAGCAAATCAGATTAAGCTCGTATTTCTCAGCAGAAACCAAGCAGGCAAGAAGGCAATGAGGAGAGATATATAAAACCCTGAAAGAAAAAAGCTGCCACCCAAGAATCCTCTACCCAGCAAAGCTGTCAATCAAATACGATGGTGTAATCAAAATATTCCAGGATAAGCAGAAGCTAAGGGATTTTGCCAAAGCCAACCCTGCTATGAAAAACATCCTAAAGGAAGTTCTGTGGACTAGAGCCAACAAGAACACATAACAACTACAGAATGATGTACATGGCAGCATCAACCTGAACTCAGTCCACAAATGAAAGAGTCAAGAACAGAATAAAATAAGAACAGAGGATCTGGGAGGTCAGTCTATGATCAAAACAATTACAAAGTGAAAAAAGATAAACACAGAAGAACAGAGATCCAGGTGGTAAGAAGGTCAGGTAGATTACTGGATAAAATAGACTATTTTAAATGGAGGGAAGAACTAATGGAATATAAGGTAACCACAATGAGGTTGCGGTGGGGGGTTTATTTTGGGTGTTGGAGAGGGCACTACAAGAAGGGGGGAGGAGGCAGAAGAAAAAGATAGATAGGGGAACACTACGACAGGGCTCTGGGATACAGGGATCTAGGTATAGCTTGAAGAGGGTAAATAATAGTAAAATCCTTGACTGCCTTATGAATATTAGCTTCCTTTGCCTACTATTGTAAAATAGACACTTGAGTGGGATAGAAAGGAATGTTGGGAAACATGATTAGAGAAAACTTGTAAGCCCGCGTTTAGCCTATAACTGATTGGAATACCTAAAAGGGGTTCTACAACTTGCCCAGTGAAATGAGCCTCATGCAAAGCCTTTTACAGAGTATAGGACATTAGGTGGAATCCTGAGTCCCATCCACAACCTTGTGAGATGAGACATTCCCACTAGAAAGGACAAGCAAACTGGAACAGCTACAGTGACAGATGATGCATCTTCATGATGAACCTGACCTATACTCAGAGTGGTAGTTACTCTAAATACCAACAGAGAGGAAAAGAGTCTTCAAATCAAGTATCAATGCTATCTGCTCTGTGCACAGAGCATATAGGGACGGACGATTTAGACATTGGCTATCTAAAATGAGGGGGCAATAAAGGCACAAAGTGACTGGCATACAAGGTTTCAAGAGGGAGTTTAGTTTAAGAGTATTGTGGGTGGGGGGGAGATAAGGAGTCCCCACTGAATAGGTGTCATCTTGTCTAGATGGGTCTGGTGAAAAGAGATGGGGTAAGACTTGTAAGATTCAATAGTGAATAACTGTTATCATGCCTAATCGCGACTGTCACAATTGTAAAGGTAGAAGTTTTGTAACAAAAAACAGGGAGTGGTTGATCTTACAGTCCAGAAACAGAGGACCCTAGGACCATCAAGAGAGAAACGCACAAGCTGAATGCGCGGGACCTTATTCAGAGAAGCAGCAGCGCTAACGAAGGAGGCAGAGATGGGGGCATGGAGAGGAGGAGCGGCTGAGGACACTAGATTCATGGACTAAGAAGAGAAGGACTAAGAGCTGGTGGTCAGGAGCAGACTTGCAGAATGTGCCCTTTGGAGACGTAAATTATTAAATATGCCTAAGTGTGTTTTTTTTGTTTGCGTGTTTTTAAAAAAAAGCTAAAGTGGATAGAGAGAAATATTGTTAACTGATGGTACTTGGAGGGGATTATAATCAATGTAATGAAACAAGGTATATGATTTGTTGAATGTCAAACTGATGATACGCCCTGTAAACTTTCACTCAATCCACAATAAAAACCTTAAAAATAAAAATTAATGTGGAAAGAAGATCTTATATATTATATTAAGTGGCATATGGGTAACAATCATTATTTTTGTCTAAAAATGCAAAATGTTCTGACTCGTAGTGACCCTCTAGGATACAGCAGAACTGCCCCATAAGGGTATCCCAGGCTGTCAATTTTCATGGTAGTACACTGTCATATCTTTCTCCCTGGGAGTGGCTGGTGGGTTTGAATTACCAACCTGTTGGTAGCAGCTGAATACTTAACCATTGTGCCACCAGGACTCCTTATATTTTATATATTTATGCAAAAAATATGTATGTATATATAATTTTTTTTCCTCTGTAGAAAAAATTTGAAAGGACATAATGTTTTAACTCTGGATAATGAAACTGCAGATGAACTAGTGACCTATTTCTACATAACAAATTGTGCCAAAATTCAGTGTCTTAAAAACATTCGTTCTCTTTTCTTTTATGTGGGAAGGCTTGGGAGGAGCGGTTCAGATGGGTGGTTCTGGCTCCGGGTTCCTCATGAAGTTGCTATCAGGATGCTGGCTGAGACAAGAGTCATTGGAAGGCTTGACTGGCTGCAGGATCCATTTCCAAGAAGACTATGCATGTAGCTGTTGGCAGGAGGCTCCTCTGTACAGGGTTTCTGGGATGTCCTCATAACATGGTAGCTGACTTCCCCCACAGCACACAGGCACACACATTAATAATAATGGAACTACTTAGAGTGATGGTGTGCCTGAGTCATTTCCAACTCATAGATACTCTGTACAAGGTTTCCGAAGTTGTAAATCTTTACGGAAGCAGAAAGCCTCATCTTTCTCCCACAGAGCAACTGGTAGATTCAAATTGCTGGCCTTCCATTAGCAGCCCAGCTTATAATCCATTACACTACCAGGGCTCCGTAATACTTAGGATTGTTGTTGCTGTTAAGTGCCATCGAGTCGTTTCTGACCCATAGTGACCCTGTACAGGGTTTCCAAAGTGGATGGTGAGCTTGAACAGCCCACCTTGCAATTCAAGGTAACTTTGCAGTCCAGTGCATTAACCTGCAGCACCACATTAGGACTCCTAATACTTAGGGTTGTTGTTGTTATGTGCCATAGAGTTGGTTCCAAACCATAGCAACCCTGTATAGGGTTTCCGAGTAGTGGATGGTGAGCTTGAACCACCAACCTTTCAGTTCAAACAGGTTTGCCATCTGGCGCATTAACCCACAGTGCCACACCAGGATTTCAATACTTAGGGTAGGAATGGCAATATTAATCTTCAAAGTAAAGATGACTAGGCATGCTTTGGGAAAACCACATACATGCAGAGTGGCTTTTACAAAAAAAGAAAGAAAATTCCTTAACAAGCATGATGTACCGGCCCAAAAAAGCCACACCATCCTGGGGTAGAATAATGAACAAGTTCTATGATACTCTCTACCACATTCAGTGATGAGCACCACTCTTAGTAAGCTCTAAGTGGGACACTGAAGATTATTACCTACAGTTATTCCAGAATGAGGGAAATGAAGGTGTTTGCCTTGAAAGAAAGAAGGCCTGAGGGGGAGAACAAGTAGACAAATCACTGCCTTCAACTACAAGAATAATTACCACATGGGAAAGTTAAAAGACTTAAGAGGCAGAACTTGATCCAATGAGTCAGACTTATAGTGGGATTCAATACAAGATTAGGTAACAACTGGAATGAGCCATTCAGGGAATGTTCCAGGTGGGCAGCAGGAGGAGCTCATGGAGCCTGAGGCCCAGTGCTTCCACCCTCTCGGTTCAGGTACAAACCAATCCTTGCCTGCTCACACTGATGTGGTTGGTGTGGAAACTCACCCTACAGCCTGTCCTAAAGCAGCAGACTTGACTCAAGGACCTAAGGCACGAGGTCTACGTGAAATGGGCAGTGTGGGGCACAGCATGTAACAGAGTGTGTACTTTATAAATGGTAGCTATTATTTCTGCACTGATTCAGGTGTCACAGGATCCTCCCAAAGATCTCTCCCAACTACTAAGAGTTTAAAAAAACATTCATATCACTGCAATGAACAATTAATCCTGATTGTCAGTTTCTTTAATAATACTATAAATACTTAAGGGTAGGGATGGCAAAATGAATCTTCAAAGCTAGGATCGCTGGACCTGCTTTGGGAAACCACAAAGAGCAGAGGCAGTAACTTACTTACATAGACATACAAACCCACAAAAATCAACACCAAACATATCCAAACAAGCCATATCCTCTCTGGTGTATGTGGTCTGCTTTCTGGAATGAAGCTATTTTAAAAAGGAGACTCTGGGTTACTTTACCAACTCTGAGTAAATTAAATTACCATAGTTCATTTACCCACCTAGGCCTGCCAACTACCCACCACAGCTGAAAACTTACTTTTTGGGTGCCAGTCGCCTGGGCCTGGATATCCTGCCATGTCGCTACAGGTTCTGTAGCGATGTGCCACTCTGGGTAAGTTTCCTTGAGTAACTTCACAAAGGTGGACTTTCCCACAGCTGCAATACAAATAGCATGGATTGGGAGGCTTCCCAAATCAGGGCTGAAGAAGTCTGCTACTAAACCCTGCCCTGAATACCCAATTCAAGGGAGGAAGGCATAGGCTTTCCAGTTCCTAAACTCAGCAGCCATGCCACTGTGAGATGATGGGTTAGACCATGGTAATCAAAGTCATCATACAGAACACAGGCAAGGAGGAAGAAAATACCCTGTAGATTAGATTAGCCTTTGTCACATCCTAGTCCCCGAGTGGCAGAGTAATAACAGTTACATATGCTCTAGAACTGTCAAAAGTAGATGAAGTCAGCCACATAGATTGTAAAGTTTTAGTCACAGCTCTATTTGTTTGGTGACAGTATAGAAGTTGCAAGTTTTTTCAGATCAAAAACAAAGATAACAACCCTCATGTATTTATTAATTTACAAATATGAGGGGGCTTCAAAAAATTCATAGAAAAATTCCATTTATTTTTCATTCGGTTTTTTACAAACTTTTTGAAGGCTCTGCATATTCACAGAGTACCTACTATGTGCTCAGGCCTGCCAGGCCCTGCTGTACAACAAACAGTAAACAAGACACCTGGTGGAGTTTGCCCACACAGAATCTGTATGGGAGATTAGATACAGGCCCTCCCGGGATACGACCGTCCATTAGGTCCAACTTACTTACAGCCTGTTGTTATGAACCAACCCCCCTATAGCTTATTATATGAAAATGTGAGGTACAAACAATGGTTTGTAATAATGAACAGGTGGGGGAACAGGTGACACTGTGCTGAGGTGGGCAGAGAAGCTGGGGAGGAGGTGTGAGAGGAAAATGGATTCTGTCCTCAGCCTCCAGGGGCCATTGAAGTTGCAGCACAGTCCTGTGTGGCCAAGGTCGAAGTGTGGAGAAGTGTCATTCTGGCCCGGGGCAGCAGTAAAGTCCTGGGTGTCTGGGCCCTCGCTGACAGTCAAGGGTGGAAGAGCTCCTCGATTCTTAGCTGCTGCTAGTAGTCCTGACCAGGAGGCCATTCCTGTTCCCTCCCCTGAGAATGCCCATCTATAAAAGGGGAGATTGCCCCTTTTCAACCTTCTCCAGCAGGGGAAAAGTCAGAGAGCACTCCCCGTAACCCCACCCTCATGAGACATTATCAGTAATATGTGTACTTTTCGACAAGCATCAAAATACTGCATTTCTTCCTCATTTACCAACATGATTAGGTTTCAAAATACCAGGCCTGCTATATAATAATCAGTGTTACGTGAAATACTCCAGATTTCCTGCCCGAGCCTCCCTTTCCCCTCCCAGCCCTTTAAGCTGGGCAGCCATGGCTGTGGTGGTCACAGGCTCACCCTCACTCTGCTCACTGGAATCTGAATCCAGGCTGTCGGCTGCTGACTGGGTCTCCTCAGCTGCCCAGTATCCCAACACAGGCTTCACAGCGCACACAGCGCATTTGGTGTGGGAAGTGGGGTAGCCCGGCAGCCTTACAGAGGCAAGCACCACCCACGGTCACCACCCGCTGCCAGCCAGCCATTGTCTGACCTCAAGGCGGGCTGGAGGGTGGGGCACCCCAGGAGAGAGCTCCAGACGGGTTAAATACTCTGGGGACAGCCCCTTTCTTTCTTCCATACATCCTGGACTAGTAGGTTGTTGCTATTGTTAAGTGCTGGAGAGTTGGTTCAGACTCTTAGCAACTCTGTGTAGGGTTTCCAAGGAGCAGCTGGTGAGTTTGAACTGCCAACCTTGTGGTTCAAACTGATCTTGTAGTCCAGTGCTTTATTCCAAAGCGCCACACCAGGACTGGTAGATTAGGGAGTCGTTAATGTGCAAAATAACAGATACGGATATAGTCAATACGTGAGGACTAGGAGTCCTGGTGTGGCACTGTGGGCTAATGCATCAGACTGAAAAGTCATTTGAACTGCAAGGTCTGTAGTTCAAGCTCACCAGCTGCTCCTTGGAAACCCTATACAGGGTCTCTATGGGTCGGAACTGACTTGATGACACTTAACAACAACAACAACAGGTATATTATTATTATTTCATTAAAGATGTTTTTAGCAGATTTGAAAGTGTTTTGTTTTTTTCTCCATATTTTTTGTTTTGTTTATAATGCAGAGGTATACTATATACTATATAGTAAGACAAACATTTGACTAGCTGCTTTTAGATATGAACTGTACCCAACAGTTCTGACTAATGTAAAAATTCAACCTCAACAAAGGATTAGAAGCAGAAATTGCTCATAATCTGGGAACTACCTATACTAAACAAACACAGTAACTAACAAATTATGTTAAATGCTTCTTCTTGTTGTGGTTGTTGTTGTTAAGTGCCACTGAGTCTGTTCCTACAGGATGACCACACTAGAGCTCAGGACATCAGAGAAGTCCCATCTGAAAAAATGACATGGGAAACAAGACCTAAGAGTTGAGGAGCTAGCCAGGCTAGAGGTGGGAGAAGAGCAGTCAGGCAGAGGAGGAGCATGACTAAAGCTCGGAAGAGACACGATCAAGGCGCACAAGACCGAAGAGAGGGCTGAGGCTATAAAAAGCAGCCAGTATGACTGAGTGAGGGAGAGGAGTGACTCGGTGAGTTTGGAAAGGACAACAGGTAGAGGCCAGGGCATGAAGGGCCTTGTGGCCAGGCTAAGAAGTCTGAATTCTACTCTAAGGACAATGGCAAGTCAGTGGTGAGTTTTAAACTGTGTAAGAATGGATTGAAGCCAAAGATAACATGTAGCTTGGATCAGGGTGATGGCAAAGTAGATGAAAAAGCAGCGGGTGCTTTGAGAAATATTTTTGAGATGAAATCACTTAGCACTACAACATTCAAGTTGTCTTTTCTCATTTACACCATGTCTGGCCCATACTTCTCCTGGGCTCCAGAGCCATTATCCAACGGCAGCCCTCCAGAAATCTCCACTGGGATGTCCCTTTCCACTGGAAAGGTCAATATCTTTCCTAAATGAACTCATCATCTTCCCCAGAAGACTGAGTTTCCTCCTGTATGCCAGACCTTTGGGTATGGCAGCATTAGCCATTCACTGCTCATGTCAGAACTTTTCCTCATCTGCCAAACCCAAGTGGTCACCAAGTCCTTTTTTATCTATTTTCCGAAATGTCCGCATCTGTTCTTTTCTCTCCATCCCATATCTATACTCAAGACCTGGCTCTCATCTTCCCTTGCCTCTCCAACTCTGGCCTAGCCCTCTTCAAAACCATTATCCACACTGCAACCACACTAAACACAAAGGAAAACAGTTTAAACCTTTTGACAACACATTGTTGCCTAAATGACAAAATTCAAACTCTTTAACAAGGTCCAGGAGCCATGTCAAGATTTAGTCCGTACACCCACTTATCTGGTCTCCGCTTCCTTTTAGGCATCCTATGTTCCTGTTAAACCAAACTCCCTCCAACTCTAATCATGCCATATCTTCTGCAATGTGATGTTGCATAAGCTTTTTCCATTTCCTGGTGCACCACCTGGTCAACTCCTACTCAATCTTTAAGACTCTGCTCAGACATCCTTCCTGTGTGAAGCCTTTCCAGACCCTGACACCTCCAAGCTAACTAGCTAATTCAGTGTTGGCTGGCCTTGTATTCTGGGTGACATTCCACCCATCAGAGCAGAGGGAACAGTGTTTCCACAGGTAGAAGAAGAGGCTCCTCCAGGAAGGAGTCAAAGCCCAGTCTAATGATCAGATTGAATAAACAAAACACATAACACATTAATTTCTGTTTCTTCTGGAACCCAGGTTTGCACAAGGCACAAAATTATAACAAGTATCTATATAATACAATGGAAGGCTCATTCTTCTCTATTTGAGGTGGTCTTTCTCAAGTGAGTTCCAACCTCAGAAAGAACCCAAATGAAACCAAGAAAAAGAAAGTGGGCACCCCCCCCCAAGACAATTCTATCAGTCAATCATGGTTACTTCTTCAGCACAAAGATGTCTCAGCACATCTGCCCACATATCCAATACATGACATTTATTACACACCACTCCAACCTCTTTCTGAATAAACAGGATAAGAACATGAATATGTGCATTTTGTAAAAGCACACTCATCTCTCAATCCCCACCTCCACCCAACTGATGTCTGCCTTTTCACATCTGCTCAGTCTCTGCTCTTCCCACACTTCAATATATAAATGCCTTTCACTGCTCTTCCGGCCAAATCCTTTCCCCCATCAAGCCTAAAGTCCTACCACCTCTATGAAGTTCAGGACTTGGCTAGCTCACACTGGATTCTGACTACACTGATCCTCTGAATCAACCCAAGAAATATTTGTCAATTAATTACAATATGTTTAGCATTTAATTATTTCATGATGGTTTTATGGGTATCAGTTTTGGTTTCCTAGCAGGATTTGAATTTCTGGGATTGGACTCCAGGAGCAGACATTTTATAAGTATGGTCCAACCGATCTTGATGAAGAATTGTATTTGAGACTGCTATCTACAACAATCTCATAAAAATCAACAGAGGAAGTTAAAAAAATATGTACTTCATACTTATATACCAGACTACTCAATCAGACCCTCTGGGTTTGTCACAGAACACCTAACAAAGTAGCAGGGAGTTACAAATTAGTTGATACACACCTGCCCTGAATAGTCTCTTGTTTAAAATATTTGGCCCAGTTGGAGAATATTTAGATTGCAGGCCTCTGATTCTGCCTATAGGCTGAAAAGCTATTTTAATTAATATGTAAGGATGAAGACAGTTAATTTGTTAGACAGGTGGGATTGAATGACTGTTAGAATTACATTAAAGACAATTACTACCCTTTACCTGATTTTTAAGGAGCTCTGGTAGCGTAGTGGTTATGAATCGGGCTGCGAACCTTAAGGCCTGCAGTTTGAAACCACCCGCCGCTCTGCGGGAGAAAGACGCATTCTGTTCCCATAAAGATTTACAGCCTCGGAAACCCTGTATAGGGTCGCTATGGGTTGGAACCGACTCGATGGCACTTAACAACAACCTGATTTTTAGACAAATTGTTC